CTGCCCCCAAATGATGCACGACTACTTTGCAATCACTGCTTCGCTACAAATTCGTCTTGGCACGACTCCCACCGCCGCAAATCCAATCCCAGCTGGGTAGGTTATCAAGTGAGTACCCGTCAAGGAGGCCTATATAGACATGATATGGCCCCATTACTTTTAAACGGCCTTCATATGGAGGTTCCCACCTGTAACTACCCACCTGAGGATGTCCTTGCAAATGTAATTTACCACCTCCACTGGCTCTACATTACCACTACTGGACGAAGCTTAAGAGTAAGAGGTGCTTGGAGAATTCCCTGAGCCGAACCCTTGCAAGGGGTTAGGGTTTGGGGTCTGAGGTGTTTGGGACGACCAAAACTCTTGCCTCGAGCGTGGATTGGTCGCGCCATCGCTTGTCCTGCGCTTGCCGGATCAAATCTTTCCCGCGTGACAAGGAACTACGGTCCATTTAAAAAGCATGCCACCACCTAGGCCCTAGTCTACACGAGGAAATGATATTTTTAGTTGTTTTTGCAAATGCTCCCGACAAACTCCGGTAAGCGGAGCCCGCCATAATGCTTTAGTAAACCCTCTCTAGGTCCGACAGGCATGATCGCACGCGTTCACAAGCAAGTCATACTCAAGAAACCACCTTCACGGGGGACCCCTAGAAATCCTGTACAATCGCCACACATGCACATGAATGAATGTATGCATGCCCAAAGTGCCCAAAAATCTCCTCCGTACGAAAATAACATATTTGCACCAACTGTTTTGAGCCATCCCCGTCTTATGCATGTACTGTTCCTACACCTGCTTCAGCATAACAGCTGCCGGCACTGTAACACCCCTGAGTCCAGCTGCATGTCAAAGCAAACGTTGTCTTGCACCACGCAAAGGCCGACTTCGTCGTCCTCAGCTTTCGGCTGCTGATGTATGGGATTAATCCGGTTAGTTTGACGCTTCGAGGGCTTGGAGGGCTGTGGCTGTCATAGGATGCTCCAGCTGCAACAAACTGTCACAATGGCTTTGCGCATCATGCAAACAAGCGTCATCACTGCGCGCAGCTATGTCTGCGTGTCCATGCACCTGCCATTGGCCCGATGGAGCAGGAGAGGACTTTGAGTGAGAAAAAAATTCCTGATTGAGCACGACCGCATGTCTCATGAGGCTGGGAGTTAGCCGGAGAGTGTTGGCATCCATGTCTCTGCTATGCATTGACGTGACAGAAACTACCAAAATTACCACTCCCGTCGCCACGTCACCACCATGACCAATGCCAGCAACATCAACTCGGTAACGCGGCGCTTGACCCTCGAGGTCTCTCTCTGTTGCCAGTCGCCCATATCTGAGATTGTATGCCCACATCATTGCAGGGACCTAGACAGTTCTGAAAAAGCAGAAGTTTTACTCGAAGACGCAGTAGGACGCAGGTAGGTGCGCCTACCTCAAACGCGACCCTCAATACCCTACCCCTTTTTGAGGGCACCCAACGTCATTTCTGATATCTTCACGTACAAACCAGGTAATTCAAAGAAGTAGGCTACTGGGGTCTAGGTGCACTCTGCCATCCCCATTACCTAAAACCACGGAACGCTGGCACGCTCCGGGTTGAGGGTTGAAGGTCTCATTGTGGTTCACGGTGTACGCTCTTGGGTTCAAGCGCAATGCCTGAAACAATGGGGCCTCAAGTGAGGCTCAAGTTAGTTGGGGAAACACGTTTTATAGCGCCTCTTTTCCGTTTTGCAGAAACGCGCTATTGGAAACACGGTTTAGGGTTTAGGGTTTAGGGTGGTTATTACTGCGTGAAACCGGTATTTCTGGAACGTAAAACATTTCTGCAGGGAAACATACATGAACTTGCCCAAGTTGAGGGTCGTGCCCGCAGAGCATGGGCAAATTTCTCTAGGATCCCTCTGGACTGTTAGTGGAAGAGATCTTCCGCCATCATACGTGTTCATCCTAAATCCTGTGAATGACTTCGCCTTTTACACTATTTCAGCATATGACACAATTAGTTTTCGAGCGTTTCAGAGTGTTGGCTTTGCAGTATTTAAGCCATCAACAAAACCCTCAGGGTCCAAATACCTCATAATCATAGACTTACCCAAAACCAAAATTGTAATTACTCTTGCCCAAAACCCCAGTACCTAATTATTGGGTACATGGACCCTAAACCCTAAACCCTATATATCCCTATATCCCCCTTTAAAGGGACCTAATTATTGGGCACATGGACCCTTTGGGATGAGGATCCCGTGGCCTTGCCCCCACATACTTTGCGCCACGTCTAGTCGGGGCAGCTACACGAGGGGAATTACCACCTGGACCCCCAAAGTGTGTAGAATAATGGCCTTTTGGGCTATATTTATGGGTTTTGGGCCATTATTTTACCTACTTTGGGGGTTTAGGTATGTAGGAATTTATGCGATCCCTATGTGCCTATACACCCCGAGATCTCACACGTCCTCACGCTAGACTTGCCACAGGGTGATCTCCTCCGGCTGTACTCCTACATGAAACCTTATAAAACTTGCCTGGACCTCTAGAGCGGGAGAAACAAAGGCCCAACACCCATCAGAACAGACAAAAGAAACATCATTCTACAAATTGTTGGGGTTCCAAGCAAGCCCCCTAAAAATTTCACGCCTACACTCTAAGCCCCTAACCCGAAATCCGTAAACTCTACACACCTAACTTTAAAAGTTAAACTTTGTCTGAGGCCTGAAGAAGGGACTTCGATTGAACCTGCTGGTTTTCGCAGGCCTGGCAATGATCTGAGTTGGTCTGAAAATCAGAATAATCTCATACAGTGCGCTTCAACAAAAAGGGGCCCTTTAAAGGGATGTTGATGATGTAAAGGCTTGTATAGGGCTTCGTGTGGCTTAGGACTTGAGGCTTCAGGAGAACTAGGGGCCCTTTACGGGGAGTCCTTGTCCATGTAATAAGCATCGTAGTAGACTGCGCCTTAATTGGGCCCCGTTTTGAGAAAACACACCTAGAATAGGAAGTATGTAGGTAGCTTTACTGAAATTGTAAGCCAAACAGTGGATTGTTTGCAAGATAATGTCAGTCTCATAGTCGATTGTTTGCTAGAGAATGTAATTAGCTGCAGGCCGAAAACCCCTCGATCTTGGACCCTGCGAATTTTCTTGTTCTCCTGACTGTTTAGGATTTGGGGTTCGGGCTAAGGGAGTACCTTTTAAGCCTCCGGCTTCTCGTCCCCTCACAACAATATCTCAAAACAAAGACCCACCGGGGGCCTGTACAATTCGTACAAACCATTGCCTAGAGTGACACCTTAGCTTGTACTGGGTTAAGGGCTTAGGGTTTAGAGTATGTGTGCTGAAGCCACCTTCTCCAAAACACATATACAAACCCTTAGCGTTTAACCACATGGGGGCTTCACAAAGTGAGGCGCCTTTTTTGCTTTTTTGGGGGAGAGGGGGGGGGTCGATGCCAGAAAGACACGGTATTTCGGCATCTATGGTGGGGGCCCCGTATCTATAGAAACTACCACATGGACCTGCAGAGTCATGTATAGAGCCGCTCCATGAAAAAAACACTTACGAAGCACCACACATGTCCAAAACACATCTTCACTCTTCCTGGTTGATGTCTCCTTATGTAAGCATGTACTAACAACACAAACTGCAGGAATTGCCTCTCGTGAGCTACAAACACTGCTTCGAAAACGATCCTCCTTCCAAACCGGAAGCCTGTAGAAACTCTTGCGATACTAAACCTTAGGGCCTCAAGTCTGTAGATGATATTCACGAGCATTCGTCGGCTAGAGGTTCTATGAATGGTTCACCAAGCAAGGCCCCTGACATCATGACATGGAAAAATCAATCCTAGGATAGTAACATAGCCTTTGTGGTCAGCAGAAACAGACCCAAACCAGACCCATTGTTTGGAGAGTTTCTTGCAACTGTGCTACCCTTTCGACACACCAAAGATATATTGGGGATTCCACAGGGGTCGTGGGTCTTCTTCAGGATTCTGTATTGATAAGCTTGAGACACCCCTCCCCTCTTCAGAGCGCCGAAGCCGTAGATCGTAGCGCAGGCCTGTGCGTCACTTGCTGATGTCCAGGTCACACTGGCGCCTTCACGGAGATTCTGTTCAGGTCTTGGTTTTAGGATGCAACTGGAGAACGGTTCATCTGTTGCTTATATACCTACAGGGGCTGCTAGATACACAGTCGGGAACCCCTATCAAGCCCGATCCAAAGCAAAACAAAAATTCAAAGAGACCACCATGCCGTAAAAGCTGCCTTGCTTGGAGTTGGGAATCTGCGTTGTTTGGAGATCGTCTTCGGATTTAGGAATCATAGTTTCTCCTTGGAACGGCCCATGGATCAAAGTTTCATGATGCACAAACTCACAAACGAAAGAAACACAACCCAGAATGATCACGGCCACCTAGCAGCCAATGCAACGAAACTAGTTGGCCTGGCCCATGCCCTCACCCTCAAGTACGTTGAGCCCTACCACCGCACAATCCCATGCCAGGACCCTACGCCCACAAAATCCGAGTCATATAGACTCTGCTAATGCTTACACCTTCCTGCGTTGCTTGTGTTTGCGATTCATCGTTTTGATCTTTGATGCACATCATCGCTCGAAACTGCAGTCCGCCTTCACAACCCCTGAGCCCAACTGTGATTTCCCTCTACTCCTCCCCTAAAACTACTTTACTGTTCCCAGCAAAGTGTCATTACACATTGGGCTGAGAGGGAAATTTTGTGATCAGGAGTTGGGGCCCATGTGGGAGTGCGTAGTTAAAACCACCCCTTGGTATCTTGATCACTCCATGCCCTAAGCTCAAAGTGCTGACACCTGTGAATTCACTCCCGGCCAGGCAACTTCGAGATCCGCAGGACTTTTCGGCTTCGAGAAAAGGCCAACCAGGATGGCCCAGGCGGGGCCTGGGCTGTTTTAGAATTGGTAGCGCGGAGCTGCTGTCAGCTTCGTAGGACTAGGTTGTCCAAGTAGCAGGTAGCTTTGGGTAGAGCCATGAGTGGAGATGACAAGGGCTTGAAGAGATTCAATGGTGAAGAAGAAGATGCTGGTAAACAGCTGAAGAAATGGCGCGCATGGGCACGCGCCAAGATGGCGACAATGAAGGATCTCAATGCGAAGCAGCAAGGCCCATGGCTGTACACACTCTTGGATGGGAAAGCTTTGGAAGCCGTCGAACACCTTTCGCTGGAAGACCTGACAAAGGAAGGCGGAGGCGAGACGGTGTGGAAGTTGCTTCAGGAGCGGTTCCCAGAGAAAGAATCGTCCGATCAAATGGGCGAAGCTCTGGGAGAGGTTTTTGGACTGTGTGCGAAAGAGAACGAGTCCATGCAACAGTGGGCAACACGGGTCCAAGAAGTCTTTCTCAAGTGCAAGCGGAAAGCTGAAGTGGAGTTTCCGGCAGTGGCTCAGGGCTGGATCGCTTTGAATTGCTCGGGGTTGTCCGAGGAACAGAAGGCGATTGTCAAAGCCAAGACCCAAGGGAAGCTGGAACTTACAGAAGTCGCGGCTGCAATGAGGTCTTGCTTCCCGACTTACAGGGCTTCCGCGAAAGCAAAGAAGCCAGTGAGCACAGTTCTCTTGACTGAGCAGGAGGACGACGTGGCCGAGGACGATGCTGAGAACGAAGCCTTTGCTGATGTGGAGGCATTCTTGGCGGACCACAATGCCACCCTTGTCAATGACCTTGAGCCCATTGACGAGGAGGAGGCTGCCGAGGCCCTAGCTGTCAGCTGGAAGGAGCGCAGACAAGAGATAACAAAGATGAAGCAAAGCCGCCAATTTGGCGCCGCGGCCTCAGCACGCAAAAGCTTCCGGGTCGAGATCGAAGAGCTGAAGCGCAGAACAAAATGCAGGCGCTGCGGCAGAGTTGGCCATTGGGCCAGAGAGTGCCGGACTCCCTTCAACCCCAAGAACCGAGACAACAGTCATGGAGCCCATGGTTCTTCTTCCTCGTCTACGGCGACGGCGGACGTGAACTATGCCCAGGTGATTGACGGTTCCGAGGACGAGTTTTCCTTCGTGGGCGCCACCGAGGCCTTGGAGGTGAAGGACAGTGTGGAAACTTTGAGTGCCGGACTAGTCTCCTCTCCGGGCTTTGGAGTCGTGGATTCGGGGTGCGGCCGCACCCTGATCGGACAAGAAACGTTGAGCCAGCTCACCGAGATGCTGGCGGCAAAGACGAGGCATGCCCCCAAGGAGTATGCTGCGCAGAGTTCCTTCCGATTCGGAAATGGGGCTACGGAGAACAGTGATCGAGCTGTTCGTATCCCTGTTGGCATCGGGGGCAAGATGGGCATCATCGATGCGGCGATTATCTATGGACAGGCACCGCTGCTGTTGGGCAGGCCCACTCTGGAGAAGCTGAAAGTGGTGCTTGACTTTGCAGGCAAGAGCATGCGGTTCCTCGACCAAGATCAGGATATCGCTACCCACTGCAATCGAGCAGGGCAACTGCTGATTGACATTCTCAACTTTCCTCAGGACCAGGCGCCTCGGGAAAGTGCAGCTAGCTCGGAGGTCTTGAGTTCGGATTGCCATGCGTCAGACAGTTCAGGTCCAGAGGTTCCTGTGGACAGTCCTCCAGAGGCTGTGTGCCAGCCAGCGTGTTCACACCAGCAGTGCACACACCCGGTAGGAACCCCTAAGGAACCCGAACTTAAGGTCCCTAAACCCGATATCCCCACTAAGTCAGCCAGACGTAAGGTAACCCTGAAGCAAAAGGAATGTAGATGTCTCCTTGCCCAAATGGAAGCCTCCGCCCATGTGCAGGAGTCATTGATCGCAGTTGCTGAGCTTTTCTGCCCTCCACGCTTTGCTGAGAAGGCACGAGAGCAGGGAGCAACAGGTCTATCTTTCAACATTAAGCAAGGGTGTGACCTACTAGACCCTAAGACTCAGGGAGAGGTCAGTGAGTTGCTTGACGAAGCCAAGCCAGCTCTGTTGTTGGCATGCCCGCCTTGCACGTATTGGGGAGGGTGGGAACACCTTAATAAGTGCTACAGGACTGCAGTGGAGCGAGCCCGTCTGATCCGGCAAGCTAGGCAACAAGTCAGATATTGTGTCCGAGAGATCCAAAAACAACTCAAGAGAGGCGGTCACTTCCTGTTTGAACATCCCCTTGGTTCTGCAGTATGGAAGCTTCCTGAAATCCAAAACCTTAAGCGTAAGTTTGGGTTTTATAGGGTTGATTTTTGCGCGTATGGTCTTAGGTGCCCCAAGACTGGTAGACCCATTAAGAAAAGCACAGGGATCCTCTGTTCGGATGCAAGGTTTGCGCAAGTTGCTCGCCAGTGTTCCTGCACAGGCAATCACCAGCATGCACAAGGCAACCTTAACTCCCAGCAGTCTAGGTGTAGTTACACTGCAACATATCCCGAAGAGTTTGTCAGGCGGGTATGGAAAGCCATAGGACCTGCATCTGAAGCCTTGTTTGCGTATCCACAAGGGTGCCTTGATCTGCACGAACTGCACTGTGAGTGTCTCGTGGGTGCACCGGAACCGGCTGAGCCTAATCCTGTAGAAGCACCAGCCGAACCTGTGCCTGTCGAGGAAGAGCCAAGTGCAGATCCAGAGTTGGTTCGCAAGATCGATGGGGCTATTAAGCGGTTGCATAGTAACTTAGGGCACCCCTCAACTCGGGAATTAATTAGGATCCTAAAGCATAGTGGAGCATCTGCGTTGGCCATCGAACGGGCATCCAAGTTCGAGTGCCACATCTGTGCCAATCACCGCCGACCTGCAGCAGCATTGCCCGCTAACACCTCTAGGACCCTTGAGTTTAATACTAGAGTGGGATTAGACGTGAAATATCTCCCTAGTTGGATTCCTGGCAAGAAGGTCCCCTGTGTTAACTTGGTTGATTATGCTACTTCCCTACAAGTGCTAATCCCCATTGGACAAAAAGAAACCGGTGAGCTGCTTCAGGGTGCCGTCCGCGATCGGTGGATTTCGTGGGCAGGCCCGCCAGCGACCCTTGCTCTTGATCCCGCTCGACCCAATTTGGGTGAAGTATTCGGGGAGTTCTGTAACAATCAGGGGATAGCAGTAGATCAAACTGCAACCGAAGCTCACTGGCAGCTCGGGAAAGTAGAGAGGCACGGACAGTGGTTTCAACAGATATTCGCTAGGGTGGTAGATGAAGTCCGTCCAGAAAACGAAGAGCAGTGGCGGACCTGCATTGTACAGACTCAATCTGCCAAGAACACGCTTTTGACAGAAGCTGGCGCGAGTCCATTCCAGCTTGTCTTTGGCCGAAACCCTAGAGTTCCAAGTGATCTCCTCCAGGAGAATCCCCTTCCCACCGTTGCTGATGCGATCGATCTCGATAGTGCAGAGCAGACAGCCAATCAGATTCGTCAAGCAGCACGCAAGGCCATGCTGGAATGCCAGGATAGTCGTGCCCTTCGGGCAGCGCTGCGAGCTCGACCCCGGGTGCTTCGCGAGTACCGGTCAGGGGATTGTATTATTGGAGAACCCAAAAATCCATTGCAGGGGTTAGACAAGAAGGGGGTAGATGGTACGGGGCAGCTATGGTTTTAGGCAACATTGGCAAGAATTTGGTCGTAGCTCACAAGCGAAGCATCATGCGATGCGCACCGGAGCAGCTGCGCCCAGCTACTCCACAAGAGCGCGAGGTTGCCGAGTTTCCTCAGAATGAATTATTGGGAATCAAGAATCTCCTTGAGCGTGGTCAGTTTCCTAAGAGTCAATTTGAGGATCTCGTGCAGCATGAATTTCCCCCCGCACCTGTGGAAAATCTAGATGATTCAGTGCCACAGTCCGCTGCTGCACAGAATGCAGCCCAGCTGCAGCATTTGCCAAGTTCTCCGCTGGTTGCCGCCGGTCAAGAGCCACAGCCCACTACACAAGCCTCCTTGCCTCATAGTGATCCCCCTGTGTCCTACGGTCCCCAGCGTAGAGTTTTGCGTAAATCGGCTCCACCTTTGTACGCCAAGTCGGCGGCTCGACCGTCAGTGACCTTGCACCGCCCTGCGTCGGAGCAGCCTGAAGACTTTCTTGAGTTGATGCAGGATGTCGTCCCACAGCTGTTGCAATCCTTCCCTATGTCTTCCGAGTCTTCCGCTGCTGATGCCGCTAGTCCTCGCGGACAAAAGCGCTCTGCAAGCAAAGATCACGTGGATGCTCCGGACCCTGCCAAGCTTAGAATAGAGGGGGAGGGAGAAGCGTCACAGCCATCCCAGCCGTCACATCAAGGAGTTGCTGCACCAAGCTCACCCGCTAACGACGAGGAGCTTAAGTTGTTTTCCAGCGATGAAGAAGCCCTAGTTACAGAAGTACTGTACTGTGAGCATTTGCACAATAGCAAAGTCGAAGCCCTAATGGCCGCCTTCATGCAGAAACGGATGCAGAAGGAGCTTCCTGTGCAGGACAATGAGCCTGCTCTCCAACGCGACATAGATGCCGCCAAGGTGGTGGAGTGGGAAACCATCTCTGGGAAACAAGCAGTAAAAGTGTGGACCGGTCGAAAGGCCCGAGAAATTCGTGAGCATCAGAAGCATCGGTTTGTAGGTAGCCGCTTTGTGGTCACTAACAAAGTTGATGAAGATGGTGCCCGGGTTAAGGCCAGGCTGTGTTTGCAAGGGCACTCTGATCCAGATTTTGACACCAAGATTCGGTCAGGGTTGTGCCACTCCCCCACGCTCAGTCATTTGGGGAGAGCAGTCTTGCTGCAGTTGATGGTTTCTCATCACTGGGTTCTAAGCCTAGGCGATGTTAAAGGAGCTTTTCTAGAAGCCGGGGCGCTCAAGGAACAGTTCAGACCCCTTTACATGACTCAACCCGAAGGGGGAATCCCCGGGATATCTCCTGAGGCAGTCATAGAAGTGACAGGCAATCTTTATGGAGCCAATGACGCTCCGTATCAGTGGTATACTACTTTTGACGAAGCGGCCCAGCAGGCAGGATTCCGCAAGAGTAGTTTTGATAATTGCCTTTATTTCTTCTACAACTCTGAGGGGGTTCTAGCAGGCACGCTAGGGGCCCATGTTGACGATACCATCACTGGGGGCAAGGGCGAAGCGTATGAACAGGCAATTGCAGAGCTAAAGCGACGGTTTCCGTACAGGAAATGGCGAGTGGGCGGAGGTGAGTTCTGTGGCATTCTGTACACCCAAAATCCTCACACTTTTGAAGTTACGTATCAGCAGGCAGAGTATGCCCGGAACCTGCGACCTGTTGCCCTTAGCCGAGAGCGTCGTGCCCAACCAGAAGCGTTGGCGACCGAAGGGGAGATCAAAGCACTCAGGGCTATCAATGGGGCGGCTAACTGGCTTAGTTCCCAAACTCGTCCGGACCTCTCTGTCCAGACCTCTTTCTCCCAACAAGCGTTTCCAAACGTCCGAGTTAAGGATCTGCTCTTTGCCAATCAGTTGGTACACCGTGCAAGACAGCATGCTCGTGTGTCGATCACAGTCAAAGATATCCCGCTACAGAATCTAGCTATCGCTTTCCATAGTGATGCCGGATTCGCAAATGCCAAGGCCAATCAGACCCAGGCTGGATATGTACTTGCATTCGTAGATCGGTGTCTTCAAGAGGATCAGGAGTCGCCTTGGTCTCCTTTTGCATGGCGTAGTTACAAGATGCCACGTGTTGTGGCTTCCACCCTTGCAGGAGAGACTCAAGCCTTTAGCATTGCCAGTGGCACCGCAGAGTGGGTCTCTCTCATGGTTCTGGAAGCAGTTCAGGGCGGGATTGATCTTAGGAACCCTGTAGGCCCCAGAGTCCCCATCGTAGGCATGACTGATTGCAAGTCCCTTTTTGATGCGGTCAATTCTGTGTCTTCCCCAGCCAAGGTTGAAGATAAGAGGGTGTCCATAGACCTTACTATCATACGCCAGGCCATGCAAAGAACCCATATGAAAGTAAGGTGGGTCCCAACAGAGTTAATGGTCGCTGATTCATTAACTAAAGATGCGGCAGACCCGGCAGACCTGCTAAGGGCAGCTCTTCAGCACGGCACGTACCATTTGTCTCCAGAGGCATCAGTGCTGCAACAAAAGAAGCTTCAGAGAGAAGAGCGTGCTTTTAGACGCCAAGCGGCAGAGTCCTTTGAGCGGTCTTAAACCAAGACCGTGCATGAATGTGTTGATTCTAGGGGTTATTAGAATCTGTAATTAAGTGGCTTAGGTTCACCGATCGCATAGTGATCCTGTGACCCCCGATAATGTTTCTTGTGCCTGCGCCGCTCCCAAGCAAATGCTTTCACTGCGCTGCCGCTTTCAGTTCTCCTGTGGTAACGTGGTAGTTTACTGACCGTCCCTTGGGTCCAACATGTCCAATCAGTCGAAGCTCAGCGTTGAGGAAGAGATGCGTGCAGTGATCTCTCGTGCCCAGTCAGAAGGGCGCGCCAATGAGGTCTTGCAGGTGATCTCCAACAGCTTCTCTGCGCCGAAGCACGATTGCCAGGGCATGGCTGACTCTTCCAAGCGTCTCCGAAGTGATCATGATGATCAAGAGTGGGTTGTCACCTCCGATGCCGCTGGATCTTCAGCAGCGTCAACCTCTCAGATGCCGGCCTTCACGCACTCTCAAGGGCGAGTTCTTCGAGGAGCCAATGGTAAGCCTCTCCCTGCAGGAATTACGTCTGCACACCAGTGGGGCAAAACCCTGTGCACCTTGCCGAAGGTGAAAGCCAAGAATGCATCGTATGATGAGCTCATCATCATGTCCGAGACGGACGAGGCCCTCAAGCAGTACCTGACTAAGTTCGTCATGTGCCATAATGGTCCCTCACCCAAGGTAAAGGACCTTCGAGCTTACCTTGAGTACCTCGATTACCCGAACCATCGAGGTGAGCCCCGCTTGTACATGGATTCCGCTCAGAGCGTTGAGCGCACTTTCAAGAACTGACTTGTGCAGAGAACGGTCAGCAGCACTCTGTGCTTTGGAATGCGAGAGCCGGAGTGCTCAAGCATCACTATGAAATTGTAGATTTTAAAGGGAGTGTGAATTCACTCCCGGCCAGGCAACTTCGAGATCCGCAGGACTTTTCGGCTTCGAGAAAAG